CCTGCTGCGGCGGGAGCCCAGGAGACGACGTTGAGGAAGATAACTCTGTGCTTCCTCTTGGTGTCAGCGCTGCCGAGCCCGTCGGGCTGCGAGGGGAAATGCATTGCTTGGGGTCGTCAGTGGGAGTAAGGGACAGCAGCGCCTGCTTGGGGGCGTCTGTGCGTTTGGGATGGTGCCTTCACCTAGATAAGTAGTGAGACGCGGGTGGTAGCAGCGCTCGGTGCCTGCCTTCAGTTTAACAAACTCAGCTGGACTGTGGCCAGGCAACAGACCAAAAACTTCCGTGTCTGTAAATGTGTCTCTTCAGCTTCTCAATACACGTGTGATGCTGATTTCCTCTTGCCCCTTCCCAACCCTGTTCTGGATGCCCTGATATTATCTTCCTCTGTTTCTGAAGGGAACTGCTTTATTTAAAGTCTTGGGCTCATTTAAGTATCCTTTTGCATGTAAGACAGGTTTCATAAACAGAAAATGTATTTTTTTTACCTGTCACAGCACACTACTTTGCTTCTTTTTAAATGAAATAACTTGTAAGAAGTGAGGCAGCCTAAGTCAGAAATACAAAATTCTGTGTCTCTAGACAGCAACAGTAAGTTGTGAAGAGGACCTGATCCTTGCCACAGAACTGGTACAAGAGGCTCTGCCACTGAAATCAGAGGACCTATTTCTCTGAATAAACCCCGCTTCTTTAGAGCAGTGTTTCTAAGGCCCTAGAGTTAACTGAAGCTTGCTGGAGTGCAATAAACTTCACAGTGGGAAAGCATGGTGGGGGGAGATGTTGGTAGCTTATTACGTGTTTATTTGCGAGGCTTTCCAAGTGTATGCGTGATGCAGATTGAACCTTGTGCTGGGAACCAGATGGCAAACCTTTGAACTTCAGTCAGGTTTCAGCAGTGCTTCCCAGATGCAAAGATCATCATGCAGTTTGGGGGCATTAATAGTTGAAGAGTTCACGTGAGTTTGTTTCCTTGTAATTAAGAGGCATAACAACACTATAATTGCTGTAAAAACATTTGTTAATTTGCTGCTCTGTCATCATAATGTGTTAGCTATGAAAGAGTAATGCTTTGTTATTGCTACAAAACTTCCAGCACGGGACTAGCTACAGTTTTGTGTGTCTTAATGGGATTTTGTAATAGCAGTATTTGCTTTGAGGAATTGTGTGTATTTATTTCTTCATTGTATGTGAATGTATGTAATTCCCGATGTTTCACTAAGAGATTAATGACTATCTGAAAACTCTTTAGTCTTGTGTAGCAATGACTACGTGCAAGTAGTCTCCCCCAAGTCTGGGGGAGAAATATGCTTGGACACTTACACTTCCCATTTTACGTACATTTACTTTGCTCATGCATGTTAGCTGTAGAACTACAGTTGAGCAGGAAGAGCTGTGTTATAACTTCTGTCTTCAGTGTTCAGCTACATATCAACAACAACAAAAAAACCCCCACAAGTTGATAATTACTGCCGTGTATAATGTATATGTAGTAAGTGGGGTAAGTGGTCCCATGGACTGAAAATAGAGAAATAGATACACTATCATGTTTCCTGCATTCTAGAATTTCAAACTCTGAAATGTGAAATACACATGAAAGGTAGGGCTTGGCTCTTTGATTTACAAAGGTTTTTCTTACCCTGCTTGACCCACTGGTCAGCTGAATGAGGTACTACTTTTATGAATAAATGAACTACAGAACTGGACCCATCATGCAAGAACTCAAAGTACACTGGCAGATTAATTTTTTTGGGGGGGCGCATGGTTTCAACATCACATGATGCTTCATGGCATATCGAGTGCTATTACCTATGTTTGATTTTCTCTTCTGTAGAACTGTGAACAGGAATGGATTTTAATGTAGAAAGAATTTAATGTGGCATGTTGGTTATGTTGCTGGATTAAGCCTTGTGTGTCTTTAGTAATGGATGTGTAGAATGTGTCTAAATTCTCTATTTTATTTTTTTTGCTGTGAACTCCTTGGAAAATCATAAGTTTCTGATGTGGTTGCTGTTCTACAGTGAAATTCATAGCTTATCTGTAGTATGAATCACGTATTTCATGCTTGTACATTTGTAAATCTAAAGCATGCGCTTAGATGTTTGCGAAGATTGGTCTTACGCTTTTGAAAGTGAGTTTTGTGATGATAATTCTTGCCCGCTATATTAGTGACAACACAAGAATGAACTGTGCTGTCCAAATTAAAAGATTGATTAGGGAAAATTTTCAAGTTAAAAGGAAATGTAATTTAATTTTTTCATAGGAAATGTACTGTTTCAAATAACTAGCAGTTAATGGAACTTTTTTGCCTCCCATTTCTTCCTTATCCCCTCATTTTGAGTTAACTGTGTGTCTCAAAGGTGTGTTGTTTTGTTTTTGTAATGCTGTTTATCAGCAGTATGGCACTAACTGATGTTTTTTGTTGGTTGGTATGTGCTTTCAGAGGACTACAGGAGCATGCTGCTTGCAGAGGCTCTGCTGGAAGAATGTTTGAAGGAAAACTTTGCCAAATTGAAGGACTCCATTCCACTGACAGAGAAGAATGAGCCAAAACTGAGTGAAGCTAAACAGTATCTGACCAATATCTTAAGCAGAGGAAACCTACGAGTAAGTGGGCTCTGTTGTCATAATTCCTGCCAGCTGGATGCTTCTTTCATATGATTATTAGTCTGGTACAAGGTGTTGGTGTTGCCTGTTCATGTCCCTGTATGTACAGTGCTGTATTGTAGGTATTACTAGTAGACTGGTAATTCAGTACCACTTTGCAGTGTCTTCTGTTGGGACACTTGCTTTTTCATATGCAAACAGATTATGTGCTACAAGTCTATATCCTGTTTATTTCTTTTTTTATTAGAAAGAAGCAGGATAAATATTTAGGAATTCTCTGGGGTGATGTGGCATGGCCACATAACAGTGCTGTCAGGCCAGCATAACTGAATTACCAGCTGCTGCTGCCCCTAGTCTGAGGGAATTGTGTACACCTGGTCAGCTCTAGATCAGAGGTAAAACGTGCCACGAGTTGCTGTCAGGCACTTGATGTTGTGATGCAAGTCCAGTATTACAGCCTTGTGTTGCTTTCAGTCTCTGCCAGAGAAATTATGTGAAATTACGCTTTTATTTTATTTTGTAGTTTGGGTGTGTGGTTGGTAGTTGCCTGCCAACTCAGCTTCAGAGCTTCAGGAGTGTTTTAAGATTCTGCCTTGATGGCTGGTGGTGCTGTGTTGGTGTCCTTGAACAAAACAGTTGCATAACTGGCTTTAAAAAGATCATGAATTACAAGTCTGTTCTATATGGGTATTACTTTTAGTCCTGAAACTTAAAGCCTAGTTAGCTTGGAAGTGTATGTTATACTTTTTTTCATGTTAATTTCTATGGAGCAAGTGTGCAGTGGCTTTTCTGAGGGAGTTCCTTGTTCTTATTTCTTGAAAGTCAGCATATTTAAAAGGTAAAAAGGAGGGAGAAAGGGGAGTCCCCTCCTTTCTTTATAGTTTAGCCACAGTAACAGCCAGTGAATTCTTCCAGCTCTTAGTGTTAACTTTTTCTGCATGAATTGCCATTACTATTTCTTTGTTAGTGATGACTTGGCTACTGATGCAGCATTGACACTGTGTTGACTGCATGTATTTAAAAATTGCGTATGAAGGCTTAGGAACCTTTCCATGCTCTCCAGAGCATAAAAAGGGTCTGGAGGGATGGATGTGTTTTACTGAATTTTTTTTGTTACACAGATTTTATATGCATGTTTTCAATCCTTAAGAAACCAAACAAATCTTAGAAATAGCAGGCATGCCTTTTGTATTTCTACTGTCGCTTGAAAATTCTTTGATAACTTAAAAAAAACCCAAACTTGAGCTCTTTGTCAAGCTTTAAATTTAGAGAGAAGAGGGGAGAACTTGACTAAAAAGTGATACTTTCTGTCTAGTTTAAATGCAGGGGATCTTCTTGGTATGTATGTAGGTAGTTCTCACCCTGGCAGGCTTTTATGTGATATCTGGCTTGTGAATCAATAGATTAGGCCAGCTGAAACCAGAGAGGTGGCTTGTAAGCTGTGTGTTTTCAAACTGAGCTCCAAAGTAGTTGCCTGACCTTCGTTGCCTGCTGTTCTCACGAGCATAGCCTGAAGATCTCTAGACACTTAAATCCTTCCTAGTCTGGCCTGTGAAGCTACCAATGTTGAGAAGAAAGCATTATGAATCTGATTAATTTGTTCTGAAGTACCTCATTCTTGCTGCTTGATATTTTAACACTCTTTTCCTCTCCCTGCTGTTTCAGCCTAAGTATATGACAGAAGCTATGCTGATCCTGGGAAAGCTTCATTATGTGGAGGGATCCTACAGAGATGCCATCAGCATGTATGCAAAAGCAGGAATTGATGACCTCTCAACAAAAGATGAGCCTCTCTATGTGCTGCGTTTGGTAACTGAAGCCTTTGTTATTAAAGGTAAAGGACCATGTATGCATATTTGAAGTGTGCTGTGTTTAGGTTGAAGTTGGAGGTATTTCTCCAAGTGATTTGATTGGAGCAGAGTTAGGGCAACATTGTGTGCTTTAGAAAATCCTCCTGGATATGGTCTGTGTAGCTTAAACTTCAAGGCATTATGGAGTCTTAGTCCATGGTTTTTAAACTTGGTTGCTTGTAAATAAAAGCTTGAAATTGAAAATCTTGTGGTAACTGTTGGCTGTAAGTCAGCAACGTGCTTGAGCTTGTGTATCCATTTTGGGAAAATCTAAATCCAGCACCCAGCTCAATTGGGGCCTGTGCTTTCTTAGAAAGAGTTCATCTGTTTGTAAATTTTAATGATTTTTGTGAATTAAGCAAGGATGATGTTTCCAAGTTTTAAACTCTGGACTAACAGAATATGTGCTTTCAAAGCAGGTAGTATATTTTTGCCATGCATGTCACACAGTATCAGACCTTATGTACAAACAGGAATCTTTCTTCCTCCTTGTAATTTTACAGACATTGCACTGAGAGATCCTAAACTGCCTCTATAGGTAGTGAAATTGCATTTCCTTTTTGAGTGGGGGAAAGGAAGACCTTAGTCAGTTTTTTACTTGGGGTGGGGAAAAGATCAGTAATCTTCTCCTTCATTTGCTTTCAGTTCCTTTATAAATGTTGCTCAAGTACTGCTACCTATCTACTGCTTTCTACTCTTTTCAGCATGTCCACCAGCTAATTAGGTGAATGAGAACTCTGATGATCAGATACCTTCAACTGGTATGTAAAAGAGTGAAACCAAATCAACCCAAAATACTGTTTGACTGAGCTGCTAGTATTACTGATAATAATTTGGGTGTTTCATGATCTCACACAGTCATTCTGCATTTTTGAAAACCTGTTTGTGCTGCTTTTCTTGCTTTGATTTTATTTTCTGTTGCATTGGTTGAATGAGTGGTTTGTTAATGAGCTTTTGTGGAGCAGGACTAATTTACTTGTAACTCACACTAACACTTGCATGGCACAGAGGAGTGAGTAACTCCCAGTGCATTTGTAGCAGTGTATTTGAGAGCAACTATTGGTGCACTCCAAAGTCTGAAGGAGATGCAGTGTCCTCACTGAGAACTGAATTAAGACCCTGGTGAGGTCTGAATTCAATTATAAGATATGCATGAACACTGATGAAATAATACTATTCCTGTACAGCCTCTTCTATGGTATTAACTACCTCACTTGCATGTGAAGTTACTGGGGGTGGAGGTGTTTTCCTCATGCTGTATATTTTTTTTTCCTTTGTGGTTTAACATAGAACAGAAATATTGTATTGCCCCTGTGTGTGTGTAAACTGTAAGGAGCCCCTGCCATTGCAGAGCAACCTCTGTGCTCACCCTCACTCTGAACAGTGAGAAGTTGGCAGTTCTGGGGTGATTAATCACTTCTTCAAGTGGCATCTGACATGGATGATGTGCGTGGTATTATACAATGCGTCTTTCTCTTAGGTGACTGTGAAAGGAGACTGTGGACTAGCTTGCTTATAGGTGTCTGAAGATGAATGGGATGAATCCCTTGTGATCTTGTTTGAGAATTTGAGAAAAACGAGCCATTGTACCAAAAGGCTGCAGTGTGAGCTCAGCCTTTTTAGACCTTAGAAAAATCCATGTGGAAGAGAACAAGGTGATGCTGTGTAAGAAGCTTTGATCGTAGTCTGTATTTTGTTATAGAAGTCCAGCTACAAGCTGCATGTACAAGGAAGTGAGACTTTGTTAGTTCAGTGGCTCAGAGCAATCTTTATTTTGTTCTTGAACCCATTTAAGTTATTTAAAGATGTTTAAGGTCTGTAGTGTGACACCTATGAAAACCTGTACTATCCTGAGAAACTCTGCTGGATTGAACCACGGGTCTTCAGAGCCTTCCTAAGAGCTGTGAGTGCTATTGCTGAAAGCAAAACCCCAAGTCCACCATGGGAGAGTTTTTCCTGAGTTTGATAATGCTGAACAGCCTGGAGCCTGCATCCAGGATTCTGGGTTCAGTCCAGCTCATAGTGGGTTTTTAGGGTTTTTTGTTTGTTGATTTTTATGACAAACTGCTGATCTAACATGTTTTCCTGTTTCTCTTATGGTTGTATATTTTAAAACCTCAATGATAATGAGGTCAGTATTCTCTGGAAGGTTATTATTCTGGTTTCTCTCCATGTGGAATCTTTTGTTTCAGGTTTGTAATACTGGAAGTAGTTGCTGGAGTGGTGTCCTGAAAGGAACACAGTGATATCACACGGAGATAATAACCAGAAAAACTGACCCTTTACTCAACTGGTTCAAAAGCTACCTGCTTGGTTTTAATAATGATTTTAAATTGACCAACTGAAGCCTTGAAATTTGAATAATCTATCTTAAACTTTTTTTGTGCTTGTGCTGCTTAATTAATTTCATATTTTATTGGTTTGCAGAACTATTAAAACATGTAGGCTGCATTCAGTAAACATAAGTCTGGTATTAAAATTGTTAATTCTGGCTAATCAGAGGTTATATCACCCGCTTGTTTATACATTTCATTGGAGTTTTTAATTTTGACATCTGCTGGTGTATCACTCACTTTCTAATATGGCTTTCTACAGGATGATAAATTTCCTAGGTGACATTTGTATTCAGCTTCATTTGTTTAGAAATCAGAATAAAATATAAAGCTTTATTGACAAGCTAAGTTCTGATAAATCTACTTTTTCCTGCTTTTAAATACTTTGGTTAAGAAAAGAAAGAAAAATCTTTTCATTTAAACAAATGAGTTTCACTTGCTACAGGTGGTGTTTTAACTCAGTGTTTCTGGTAAGTGTTAAAGCTGATAAATTTCTTGTAATGCGTGCTTTTTCTAAATTTGTAGATTAAAATGGGAAGAATAAGCTTTCCTGTTTTTTAGTCAAAACTTTGTTGGTTCACCAGCTTTGAAAAGCTAATCATTGAACTAAATTAGTGGAAAGAACTGAAAAGGAGAAAGAAATGTGGGTTTTTCTGGGTTTTTGTCCTCCCTGGAAGAGAGTGCCTCTATTTTAAGACTCATTTCAATACTACATCAAACTCTCATTTCAGATTCTAAACCAGTAACTTGTCCAGTTCAGTTTATTACTGAATGCTACTGATCCAATAGTCAAGAATATATTCCATTCAAACAATGTTAATGGGCTATTGTGTGTTATAGACTTAATTTAAGCATTCTTTCTTTTAAATAGAGTCCTTCTGAAAACAATTTCCAGTTAGCTTCTCTGAGGTGAGATTTTTGTCCACTTAGTTTCTGATGAATGAGATGTCAACACAGAAATTGAGTATACTGCAGTACAGATTGGAATGATTTTGAGTGCAGTAGTTTGAACAATTTCACGTACAGATAAACTGAGTTTGGAAATATTACGTAGCTTTGCTTGGTCATAATTTATTTCATAATCTTTTGAAAGTGAATTTATACTTCTAACTTTTTTGAAGGAAGCATTTTTAGTTCAGGTCATGTTCTACTAACCTGTTAACAGGCTATACGTGCACTTTCTGAACCTGTTCCTTGTTTCAGAGGGCATACATTTTGCAAGGTGCATTCTCCTTTTTCTAGATGAGCATTTGGAAATTATTCTGCCTTTGGATACCAAAAAAAGCTTCCCTGTGGTTATGCATGCTCTTGTGCTTGGGATCTTTTCCATAGGCTGACTTTTAATAGTTCTTGAATTTCTCTAAGAAAAGGCTTTCTGTAATGCCTAAAAAGGCAGAGTGTGTGGGGATCTTCCTATGTAAAGACATACCTTGTCTTCTCAACTGAGACAACCTTAGGAAATGGGTTAATGGAAGGTTGATGACATTACTTCTGTGTCTAGAAAAATAATTTTCTTTTATGTCTTCTCTGGACACTAATGGGGGAAAGTAAAAGCATGTTGAATTGCATGTGTTTAAGATAAAAGTGATCTATTTCTGTATTATTTTTTCAGTAGCCACGTGACTGCAAAGAAAATACTCAGATCTGCTAGAGGTTAAAAAAAGAGGGAACACAGCTCTTCCTCCCCTCCTTCCAGCACAACCAACCCCTACCCTCCCTTCCCCCAAAAAAGCTGAGTTTTCATCCTGCCTGCATTGTTGCTATCAACTGACATGAAGGCAACGTGCTGTAATGTACTCATTTAGCAGAAATGGGCAGTAGGAAAATCCTATGAGCCTGAATTAGTTTCAATGTCAATTACTTTGTCATTTAGGCACTGTTGACATAACGGCATACTTAGTGGAGGCTTTTACTGTAGAGCCTAAATCTTTCTGCTCTCATCATCCTGTTTAGTCCAGAAGCGTTGTTACTTTAAAGTGTGCTGACTTCGCTGGGGCTCCTATTCACTGCTGTCTGGAACCTGCCCACCTTGGAAGTGATACTGCTGTCTGAGGCACTTGAATTCCTTCAGGAGAACAGCTAAGACTTTCCTAAAGAAAACACTAGCACTCCTCGTAGCCTTTAGGAAAGTTTGTTGATTTTGATGAACCAGAATTATACTGGGCATTAAGTTAAGAAGAGAAATGCATAGGTTTGGGTGAAAGTTGTGGGGAAAAATAATCTAAAACTTTGCTTTCACTTTTTTCATTCAAATATATTACTTTTTGTTGCTAATAGGCTTCATGAAGATGATTGACGGTTGGCAGAATGCAGCTATGTTAACTTAGATGTTGCTTTTGAGATGATACATTGGCTTGTAGTAGTCTGCTCCTTTTCCTTAATTGCTGCTCTACTGGCAGCTACTCAGTGAGGTTACTTTTGCCATTATTTTCAGCTGCTGCTGTGACTTAAGTAGAACCACAATGGAATAAAAGAATATATATTTTTTTTAAAGGTTGTGTCAGAGGCAGGACACAAATTCCTTTATGTTGGAATCCTCTGATGGCTAAAAATGGGTGGGATCTGTATCTCTCAGCATTGAAATCTGTGGGTAGGAGGTGGGTTCCTTTAAACAAAGCCTAAATAATAGAACTAGTTTGCTTGTCTGACCA